GGGTATGAACATCTATGCATTAATCAATGCTCCAACTGATAGAATCAAACTACACTATATTGAGGATCTCATTATCTTTATAGTTAATTAAAGGCTGACTCAGTTTCTAAACTAATTTGTTCACAGTCAATTTATCCGAGAGGTCCATATTATAGTTATTAAAACGTGCTAATACAATTGTGTAACATGTATGATCAGAATAAAATTATGAATAAAAGTAAAAAAAAGGTAATATAAAAAAAATAATTAAATAAAAAAACACTGCAGGTGGAAAGTAGAGAGGTGGCTTATTTTTCACAGTTATCTCAATAACTACACAACAAAAGTGGATTAAGGAAGAAAATTTGTTTACCCAATTGAACCTGCGCTATTGCTTTTGGAGACGCTAGCTTAAGAGATAAGACAGCTCATTAGAGACTTACATCGATATAAATTTCTGAAGTGTTAATGAATTGGATACAGTGATAATAAAACAAAAATAAATATAATAGTAAAAAAAAAAATCTCCAGGATTATAGTAGCAATCATAACAGAATTTTTTTTTTATAAAATATCATTATTAATATGAAACCAAAATAATCAATCTTTGCTATCCATGTGCCTAGTTTTTTGAATCATTTATAATGTCATATGTTTGTTATATAAGTATCTTCAAATATCGATCCAATATTTACACATTTACGCACACTACCAATTAAATGTGACGAAAGAATCGAAACGATAGGAATCGCGAATCCAAGAAATTAAAAGCACTATTGAGAAAACACATGTTTGATGAGTCAGATATATGACATTAATGTGGGAAGAATCATGTTTCAGCATCAAGTATATAATGTATTATTAGTATTATTGTTATAGAATGCAGAGTAAGCATAGAAGTCAGTTAGCATAGTTAATTACCTTCAAATCTCAATGACTGAATATGAAATGATTAGATAAAGTAATTTTTTATAAACTATACTAGGACATGAGTAGAGAACATCGAGAGAGATTGAGATTGAATACTAATTTTTCAGTATAAAAAGTCGAAGGATAAGCGAAACCTGGGCAACGAATCTCAATTATATTATCATGAGAAATCATCTCAGAATTTTAAGAATACGACAAAAAAAGACAATTTTGATAAAAACGTGTAAATCGGAATGTATTGACTTTCGTTATAGATATAAGGTGACACAAGTTGTAAGAGAATCTATGAACAGAAGACATAGCATTATTCTATCACTTCGAAATAAAACAAAATTAATGTCAAACAAAGCGGGACGCATGCGGAGAGAAAGCCTACGATTACTATAGTTAAATAATCATTTATTCACTTGGAATTAAAGTTACATATTATAGAAGAGAGTTCACATTCAGACGCTATTTATATATCGTATGTAGCAATTAAAGCTATAGCAAGGATCACATGTTGTTGTAGTCAAGACAGCGAACTTGAGCGTTTACGAATAATGACAATAAACGAGAAAGTGATGAATATAGAGTGCATATCTCAGAGAGACAACAGTTGATATATCGAATCGTCAGTTGAATTTACACAAGTATATTGTGCGAGAAGAACAATGACTTAACATTTCATATGATCTAGGCATTGCTATATGTGGCAAGAAACTTGGCTCAGTTATACTAATATAGAGATTGGTAGATATTGAACACAAGGAAAAGCTTTTTATCTGGCAGTATAGTAGATTGAGTATTACCACGTGACAAACTCTTGTCTTATAAAACTATTAAACGTCACATACTGCAATTTTAAATAATTACACAAGAATAAACTAATACAGAAATGCACTTAGCAAGGAGTAGATGAATCTATCCACAAAATGATCAATGAAAAAAGATCAAGACTACGAATGCTATATTGCGATCGACTAACTGCACCATTAAACTTCGTCAAAGGCCGATGATAGTGGCAAGCGTCTAGATCACGCAGCGCCCATTCATAAGAGAAAATAGTACCAGACGATGGTGCAGTCATGTATTTTTTACGAGATTGTATGCTAACCACATAGATGTAAATTATCATTTAATGACATTTCCACATATAAACTACAAATGCTGTTTTAGCCTTTTCGAATCATTTGGTTTTATTAAATCTTATTGTTAAGTAATTTGTAAAAAAATCTTAGAAAAATAGTATTTTGAACCCTACTGACCAATTATGAACAACTTACATTTTGTATAGAAAAAACGACGCCACAGTAAGAGTGTAGCATATGTAAAAGAAATAAATGATCAGGCTATACGAACATTCGACTAATTGGATTTGTATATTGGTCAGGCCGATAAATTACAGACTACTATACTTATCATACCAAACGTTGGATAAACAAAATTCAAAGTTTCATAGTAGCTTTGTCTGATTCTATTAATTTTTCTTTTCTTAGAACTCTCATACTGGGCTGTACTCACCAGCCTCACTCGATGACTTTAACCCAAGAAATATTAGAGATGCAATATCGCACTCATATAAATTATGTCTGTTACCACATGTAGCTAAAGCAACCAGTTGAGACTAATGAATTAGCAAATCAAAAAATATAATTGGGCTATTTACGGGCTAAATTTACCATGAAAATACGAACCTGCATAAATAAAATAATTCTTTTAATTACATGGACTTACTTAGTCATAAGGTAGATGATGTTAGATCCGAGACTAATCTATACAATTGCATTGATCTAATTCGAATAAAAGAAAATAGTTTATTCAAATACATAACTAATAAAAAATACAACAGAAAAAAAATTATTGATAAAGATGGAACTTAAAAGTTTGTACATCAACGAAAAACATTGACTAAAACAAATCGACTGATGTCTTTTATTTAGCCATAGGAAAAATTTATTGCTTTTTCTGGTGATCAGATAGCCTTGCTGGTATGGCAGGGTATTAAGGCATTTATTGAGAACAACGTAATGCAACTGTGAAATAAAGTTCAAGTATGAACGGATTAATCGTGTCGGACCAGAGCTTTGAATTTTCAAGATTAGCAGTCGAGTAGCAATTGTTAATCCAAACGAAGCGTAATAAAAAGTTCTGAGGTAAGCATATGACAATCGATTGCTAGTGAAATTAAATACACGTATTATAACGTACAGTTAAAAAAAATTATCTATATATGCTTTAGCAATTGATAACAGATTTAACAAGAAATATAAAAATGCTGATTCGGTCTATGTGTGTACTTTTATGAGAAGAGAAGACATTGAACTATCGAGATGAACACAATATTTGAAACCTCAAATGACAGGTCGACTGTCCGTTACATGTTTAGTTAACTAACCTCTTAACTTATATGGTCTATGCGAGAGAAATCTAGTCAGGATAGCTCACAATGAGAACATAAAATAAAAAATAAATATAACTTCAACTTAAAGTATGGACAGAGCAAAGTAAGTCTCATCAGCATTGAACTAATATAATAAAATAAGTGAGAGTGAAGGTTTATCACAACTGAGAGATAGTTAGTGTAGTTCCATAATAAATTACCATTGATGCAGACGCCATGTCATTTTATTTGGGCAGGTAATCAGACGCTTAGAATTTGTTGTCGGATGATTTGTTAGGTTGGATATATATGTTTGAACTTATTTTTGTGAGTGTTTTTAATGTATTATATATATGATGATCTGAGTAATTTGAAAGCTGATTTTTAAAATACACAAAAAATGTATAAAAGTGTTATTGTCAGTCGCGTGAAATACTTTTTTTTAAAAATATGTTAAAATACATTGTGACAAAGGTTTTATGTCAAAGGTTAATTAAATCTTTTTTCAGTTATAATTAAAGCAAGTGAACGCGAAATCACTACCATTGAAGTTATTTGTTATTTTTCCATTAAATAAACTCTTTACACATGTTATTACTATATAGACAAGTAAATTATTATATATTTTATGCCTTTATTCTACACATTTTTCATAAAGTACGTAATAAGTTTTGTTGCAACACCATGTCTATAAGTATGTTTTTCTCTTTATAACTGTAATCATCAAGAACAATTAGAAAAAGGTAATAAAGATGCTTATATATATTGTACTTCTGACTATACCAAAATTATGCAAGTCCGAATGTATGTTTAATTTCAGACGCCTGCTGGCGTATTCTTTTTTATATCCATTATTTCACGATTTCTGATGTCAGCAATTTAGGAAAACTATTACCATTTACTAGAATCTTCTAAATGAATATTCGAATATGTCAGGAGTAAATGATTTATATGAATTAAAGAACGTCCATGCATGAAATTCAAATGTAAAGCACATAAGACAGCAAATTGTTGATCTAAAATTGTGTATTTTTCTCTGAAATTGTTTTTTGTGTGTTTCCTTATGATAACTCGGCATTAAACATTTTATTTTTGACAGGAATGTGACTAATTAAGATGATAGCGACATTGCATTGAAAACTGATATTCAAAATAGGAATTTGTTATTGTCTGTCATGTGAAAGTCTTTTTATGGTTGAGTATTTTTTCCAGTTTTAATTTTTATTTAAGCAAGTGCATATGAAACCACTAACGTTAAAGTTTTGGTAAGTAAATGTTTAGCCTTTTTACGTATTTATTGAACAAATGTGTCAATATACGCCTAATTTACTTACGTTTTGTTGCATTTCAATGCCTATAAATTAGTTTTTTTCTGTATCAATCATCAACAACAAATTTAAAAAAGAATCTTCAATTATTTTAGATAAATATGAAAGTCACAAATGGCCGAATGATAATCCAGCCTGTGCTAGGGGTCATGGACGGTAGCTTGCAATTAACACTACTGTTCATGATCAGGCACAATCAAACAGAGCTTCAAAATTTTCACTTTTGCCGTGATAGACATTTATTCATCACACGTCTGAAGAAAACCTCAGGCCAGGCCTAACTTATTGGTTTTACTTTGTCAAGTCTATACATTGTAACTCGGCGATATTTACTATGTTTTCATTTTAACATATCTTTCAACAAAACAACTTCAACATAGATAAAATAGACACTATGCTTGAATTATCAGTTTATTTTTAGCTCCTAATTCAACAAGATGTTTCAGTAACTAATCGCCAAATTGCCTCTGTAGCCATTTTATCATTGCATGAGAAAACGCTGTATTCACAACCAATTCTTCCAGCTTTCATGAAATCGTTTACGGTATGGTTACGTACTGCACCACATTTGTTTCTTGTCCATCTGCAATTGCAAATCGTTTGTGCAGAAATATATGAAAATTATGCATTTATTCAAGAGAATATAAACATATTTTACTATATCATTATGCACCTAGCATGAATAAAGACAATTTTTATGCCCCCGCCATGTAATGGCCGGGGCATATAGTGTTACCCTGTTCCGTCATTCCGTCCTTCCGTCCTTCTATCATTCCGTCATTATCAGTTTCCGTTCATTATCTTAATAACGGTTGCACACATTCAACTCAAACTTAACATATAAATATGTCATGACAAAATACAGGTCAAGTTTGAATTTGGTCATGGTTCGATGATTTTTTCAGAGTTATGCCCCTTTTACTTTTAAAATAATATGAAATTTCAGTTTCCGTTCATTATCTCCCCAACGGTACAACACATTCAACTCAAACTTAACATATTGATATGTCATGACAAAATACAGGTCAAGTTTGAATTTGGTCATGGTTCGATGATTTTTGACAGAGTTATGCCCCTTTTACTTTGAAAATAATATGAAATTTCAGTTTCCGTTCATTATCCCCCCAACGGTACAACACATTCAAATCAAACTTGACATATGGATATGTCATGAGAAAATACAGTTCAAGTTCGAATTTGGTCATAGTTCGATGATTTTTGGCAGAGTTATGCCCCTTTCACTTTGAAAATAATATGAAATTTTCAGTTTCCGTTCATAATCTCCCCAACGGTACAACACATTAAACTCAAACTTGACATATGGATGCGTCAAAAGAATGCGCAGGTCAAGTTCAAATTTGGTCATGGTTCAATGATTTTTGGCAGAGTTATGCCCCTTTCATTTTGAAAGTAATATGAAATTTTCAGTTTCCGTTTATTATCTCCCCAACTGTACAACACATTCAACTCAAACATATGGATATGTTTTTGGAATGCCCAGGCCAAGTTTGAATTTGGTCATGGTTCAATGATTTTAATGCAGAGTTATGCCCCTTTCACTTTGAAAATAATATGAAATTTACAGTTTCTGTTCATTATCTACCCAACAGTGTTACATATTCAACTTAAATGTGACATATGGATATGTCAAAGGAATTGGCAGGTCAAGTTGGAATTTGGTCATGGTTTGATGATTTGTTTGCAGAGTTATGTCCCTTTCACTTTGAAAATAATATAGATACATTTTTAAAAGGTTAAGACTGAATCATTTCAGTGTCTTGAACATTGTATGAAAATGGTTTGTGTTAACATTGAAAAGTTTTAACGGCTTTGAACTTAAAATGCAAAAAATAATTAATGCACCATCTGAAATTTTGGCTGCATGCGCGGGCATCCAGGGCATGATGACACATTTCTAGTTTTATATTCTGTTGGCAAATCGAAATTAAGATACAATTTCTTACATTTAGGTACGAAGTTCGAATCCCACTAGGGACTCAGCTAGTTTATGGAACGTCAGTAATGCTAATCAGGTACACGCTCGTGCCTAATAATAGCATGTACGGGGGTGCCTGAGGATTTTCTCTACCAGTGATGCTGAAAAGTAATCACGTGACATTTAAAATCCGACAAAACATAAAGGTTCTACTTTTGAAAACAGTTTCAGTTTTGTAATGCATCTCTTTTGATAAAAAATGTCAACGTCAAAAATAATCAGGGAAATCGCCGGGTATAGAAACTTACGATGAAGACATGCGTCGTGCGTCGAGTAATGCAGTTTCTATTGGGTCGAATCCATAATCATTGGTAGTGTATACGAGCCATTTTTGGTTGTCTGAAGTTGTAACAACAACACCCCAATGGTAGTGCCATTCACGTTTTCCGACTAAAATACTACTGCTATTGCTTGAACTTTCACTGCTGCTGCTACTGCTGCTTCCACTGCTACTACTGCTGCTGCTGCTGCTACTGCTGCTACTACTACTGCTACTACTACTACTACTACTTCCGCTACTGCTACTACTACTGCCGCTATCGGTGTTACTGCCGCTGCTGCTGCCACCCCAGCTTCCACTTCCAAAATCTAATCCAAACCCTTCAACTGAACTTGCCCAAGGCCTTGAAAATGTAAAATACATTTAAGAAACGAAATAGTGAATTACATTACGGCTCTTACAGTTGTCTTTTTAATGAAACTCCATATACACTGCATTTTAAAGAAAGCAAAGAAAAAATCTTAAAATATAGAGAAACAGAATTCCTAAAGAAAGCGCAACATATCAAAATTGAAAATATTGCAAGGTCGGTTTGATTGAGCTTGTTCATGGACGGTAGTGGTTATTGCAGGCTACCGACCAACGTATCCCGTCCCCTAGCACCTGCTGAATCAGAACTTACTATTTAAACTGAACTGGTTATATTTTGAATTTTGAAACATTTGCAGATGTGTTTGTATGGATTTAAGTATTTTACTATTTTAATTAACCGTAAATAACTTAAAGTATGTCAACTCACAAATTAAAAGTAAACAAAATCAACTACATACCGTACATAAAGCTCTGCTTTGACAACTTGCTTTGATAGTACATCTGCAGATATGAGATCTGCATGTCCTATGAAACCAGACAGGAATACCAAAGAAGAAGCGAGTACTGATAGCATCTTGTTCAGGCGGATGACAGTGGTGAAATAAAGAGATAAGTTAATTTTATATTCAAAAGTAATCAAAAGTAGGATGTTTTGACCTTTTGACTTTTGTTATCTTTGGCTTTAAGGTCATTCTAAAAATATACGTACTCTTTTCCTATTTGTAAACTATTTGTAAAGAAATGTCGATTTCATGCTGTATACCAGAAATAAAAAAGACAATTACAAATACAGCATAAGTTGAGTATGCGTTTAATCATGTTTAAAATAAAGTAAGTTTTCAAACTTAAAATATTGATATGAAACTCTCTTTGTTATCTTGACATATATTTGATTTGGATTGAAAAAGGTCATAAATTGGACATCATGGCATCAAGTTAAAAACTGATAAAAGAAATGTATATGAACATTACTACTTCACATATATATTCAAAATAAAACCATCGGACAGAAGACAGTTTTCTTTCTTTGATTAAACGGATATTACAAACTGAAAAAATATATAGTAAACGTCGATGAATAAAGCAAGAAAAATACAATATCTAAACACCATACTGATCATATATCTAAATTGTTATGCATTACAAGGGTCAATAGACACACCAAAAGTTAGGATAGAGTACGACAATAAATCTACAGTTCGATAGTTGTATTTGAAAAGCAACGATTTTTCATAAGATCCATTGTATCATCATCTTTTAAAATAAATTTCATGGATTTGGATGAACAACTAAACACCTAGACTTCTCCCGCCATTTTTGTCAGTAATACGTTTTCTTTTTATCAATGAATTTTTGATATTGACAGATGATCTTTGCTTCAGATCGCAATCTATTATTTGTCAAGGAAGAATCTAGCTAGAGATATCGTCATGTTATTAGATCTCTGATGCCGACCAAAAACCATTGATTTCTATTTTGATTTATAGGAAGGCAAACTAAGCAGACAAGGTGATGCATTTTTAACATTTTGATGTATTTCTTTCCTTCTGCGATATATGTGTTAAAGTAATTGCAATAAAAAAATTATAAATATTCACTCGGCATATGTATTCCAGGAAATTTGAAACGAATTTAAGGCCCCCTGGCCAAAAAATATTTTTGGGAATTAAAATTATTTCTGACTCGTGAAAATATGGCATTTTATCTTGTTTCGTGAAAATATATTCCATATTCACACTTTATTGAAATCGTTAACACGGACTTAAAATAATTGATGAAAAACAAGTAACATTCTTATCACTGAAAAAATATCGCTGTATGTGAATTCATTTGTCATAAAGTAACCAAAATAGAATTTGTAAGTGTCGTTTGCAATGTGTAAATTACTTTCTTTGTTCACTTCACAATATTTTACTTTGAAATACATTTTCAAAATTTTCATGAAAATTCTAAGTGTAACAAAAACAAAATATTATCAAAATACATGAACTAACAATAATTAAGCATAAAGTTTAGAGTATGTATTTGGTTTTATTTCAAAGAAAATGAAAAAAAAACAAACAAACACCAACAAAAGAACAAGAACGTGTTTGTTAAACACAAATGCCCCCGGCTCAGATTCTTGTCAGTAACAATACTTCATAAATGTTTACCCATTCACTCAGCTATGGACAGAAAAATCACAAAAAAATTGTAAACACAAGTTTTAAAGCTTGACAAAGTCATGGCATTTTGTAATTGTGAAAAATATAAGTTGCCAAGTCATTGCTCTGACCTGTGAAGTTGAAAAATATTCAACTTCATGCAAGTTATCTTCCTACCAAATACGAAATACATCTGTCATTAAATAAAGGCTGTATGGGCAAAAGTGTAAAAATCTATTTTTAGCACTTGTGACCTTGACCCAACTGACCCCTTACTCCATCCAAAGGAAGAATACAATGCAAGTTATCTTCCTACCAAATATGAAATACAACTGTCAATAAATAAAAGCTGTATGGGCAAAAGTGTAAGAATATATTTTTAGCACAAGTGACCTTGACCCACTGATCCCTACCCCAATCAAAAGGATGAATACCATGCAAGTTATCTTCCTACCAAATATAAAATATTTGTAGTATTGGGTCATTTGGGTCAAGGTCAATGTTACCAATGTCAAGGTAACCAATGTTAAAAATAGATTTTTACATTTTTACAGGTGTATTGACCTTATTCTTTAGACAGATGTTATTTATAATTGATAGAAACATAAACTTTGATGAAGTTAGTGGTCAGTTGGGTCAAGGTCACCAGTGCTAAAAATAGATTTTTACACATTTGCTCATACAGCCTTTATTAAGTGACAGATATATTTTATATTTGGTAGCGAGATAACTTGCATGGTATTCATCCTTTTGATTGTGGTAGGGATCAGTGGGTCAAGGTCACTTGTGCTAAAAATAGATTCTTACACTTTTGCCCATACAGCTTTTATTTATTGACAGTTGTATTTCATATTTGGTAGGAAGAAGGAGGTGTTTGTATTAAACTAAGACATTAACTAAAAAATAAAGGCTGTATGAGCAAAAAGGTTTATATTTATTTTTTTAACCAGTGACCTTGACCTTGACCCTAGAGACCGCTTACTCTAAAAAAAATTAGAGGACCATCAAAGGTATCCACCTACTAAATATGAAAGATATCAGTAAAGAAATTAAGCAATTAAGATAAATCCAACTTGCCGAAATAGGTTAACCAGACAAGGCCCTATTTTCAAAGTGAAAAAAGGGAAATAACTGGAAAATATGGATGACACAGTTATATAATTTGGCAATATCATGTGTTGTGTATTCATAAGTAAGTGTGGAAATTATAAAGCCATTAGTATAGATAGAACTTAAGATATTTCCAACTTGCCGTTTTAGGTTAACCATTATTCATTTTCTAAGTGCTGAAAAGGGCAATAACTTGGTAAATATGAAAGCCAGAGTTATGAAACTTGCCCAGATCGTGTACTTTGTATTTATTAGTAAGTGTGTAAACTTAGAAGCCATTGGTACAGGTAGAACTTAAGAAAAATCCAACTTGCCGTTCTAGGTTAACCTCGTACGGACAGACGGAAGGACAGACAGACGGACGGACGGTTCAATCACTATATGCCCGGGGGCATAAAAACAATCACCAAAACATGCCGTTTTATTTTGAAATTCAGTTTTAATTAATGAATAATTATAGGGGTCGATTTAATGTGTAATAAAGCAATAAATATTCGTGAATCTTATTTCGAAATATTTAGATTCAAAGTACATCGAGGTATTAAACTAAATGTTCTTGAGAATTCCACTCGGCACATTATATTGCGTATGCATGGAACGCTTATTTAATTTAAAGACTTATTACGCGGGGGTTGTTTTCCTATTGATGAATACGGAAACACCATTAAACAAAATGTATACTGTACCATGTCAGGGATCAGTTTGATCACCGTTTAGCATTTTTTATTGTACATGTTGAGCATTTTGCAACAAATGTATTCTGAAAACCAATAAAACATGACTCACATCTGTGACACAGGCTTAAGTATAATCAAATTTTAAGCATTAAAAGTAATCTAATCAATGTTTTATGTAGAATTACAAAAAAAAAACAAAAACAAACAAAAACAACAAAAAACGACAACAACAACAAAAAACAACAATCAGCCCCCCCCCCCAAAAAAAAAAAACCCCAAAAAAAACCCAAACCCCCCCTAAAAAAAAACAAACAAAAAACAACTAAAAAAGAAACAACAACAATATCAAAACACACAAAACAAAATAACACACGTTTATATAGTTCTTATAGTTTAGACACTTATGACCTACAGACATGTTGTTGTACAGAAAGGGATTAATTCGATACCATCATTTGTAATGTGTAAGTATATTGTAACAGCATGATAATTCCAATGACTGATATTCCTGTTTAAATGTTTGAACTGTCAACAGTAATAGAGGAGCGTCACTGGAAAAGGTTACATATAAAATTATATCTTCTCTGTCTAGCGAAAATCAAATCACTGTTCCCATGTTGACACCATTAAAGATGAAAAGTAAGATTGACGATGCAAAATATATTGTTTTTTGCTGTGTAGAAAATTGGTGCCCATGTAATGCAGGAAGCCAGTGTGTTTATTAATATGATACGTAAAATAAATCAAAGCTTATTTAAAAACAAATATGCATATAAATAATTTTCCTATTTAAATCGATTGTTCAACAGACGATTAAAGTGTCTTTCTTAAATATTTAAATATTTATTTTTAAATGCCTATTAAGTCTAACAATGCCATCACTTTATTATTTTCAAAAGCTGTGTTATTTTTGTGTCTTTTAACAGTTTCCATAAAGTTACTAATTGGTCATATTTCAAAACTGAAAAATTTTCTATTTCTTTTGCGCTTTGGTTATTACTACAATTATAGTTTATTAGTATTTTGTATGACAGTTAAAATACCACTTTGTTCAAATTTTTCTACCTTTATCACGCAACGGTATTTTCATCAGGTGATAAGCATTTCATATGTTCTAAACCCATTTTTACAACATTTTTAAACTATAGACAGTATAAAACAATATTCTTTTCTGAAACATAATGTACCTTTAAGAGAACTATTTCTATTTAACTTATAATTTGATAATCAAATTCGAGACTGCCATGAGCCATCCACTAAAAGTAAAAAACATATCATGTTGCCATATGATCTGTACATAGTAGATCCAAACAAAACCATGATGTCTAAATGTTTAAAAAATATCTGAGACGATCTTTTTGTCCTGTTTCTATTGCTATATTACATATTTTGTATACAATTTTATTCTAAATTTCCTATGATGAAACTTGAAGGGACATTCGTATGCACTTGTTTTGGCCTCCAAGTTGATTAAAGTAGCTGTATATCTCAAAATTATTGTCAGGTTTCATTTAATTGTGAATGTCACATAATTTAAATTAAAAAACGTTAGCAATAATATGGGAAAAAAAGTATTTTATGTTCTCAATACAAATATATTTTTTAACGCATCTTTTATTGTTTATTTATTTTCTCGATTGATTACACTAGAAACAAGTGTGTTG